CCTTCAAGTTGCATTCGCAATTCAGTTACCTGCTGTAGCCGCAGTTGCCCAGTCTGGATGCACTTTGCAGGCTGTAGCCACAGTGTATTTCAGGACAACACAAGGACAAGCAAGGCAAGCAGAACTTTTGTCAAAAATACAAAGAAATTCAAATTACATGTACAGTGTAATCCAAGCGAAAAGAGATAACTAGAAGCATGCCCCCACTCTGGCGAGACAAGTCCAGCGGCAGTGTAGGGTCTCAGCCTGCCGTACCAAATGGAGCTAGTAAACAGCTGCCACTGGGACACAGGAATTGACCTGCACCTCCATGAGGACAGCTGCCGAGTCCCAAAATGACGTCCCAGGCTTGCGCACCTGGTCTTTCAGAGCGAGGCACAGGTTACCCCATTCAGGACCAGGGAGTCCTCCACACCCGCGCCGCCTCCTGTCCCCCCAAAACGAGTACGTCTATCCTGTCAGGATCAACCCTCAATCTGTTAGCCGCCATCCATCCTCCAAACTGCCCTCCAGACCACTCACAAGGACGCTTCCCCCCGCCTTCAACGGTTCTGATTTGAAAGAAGAGGTAGAGCTGGGTTATCATCCGCATATTGATGAACACCGAACAACCCAACCCCCCTTATGGATCTTTGCCCAGCAAGCTGCATGTAGATGTTGAAAAAGATTGTTGACTTGCATTGGTGAATAGTGGAAATTCAAATTTCTGCTGTGTTACTGATTCACATCTGGTCTGAAAATAAATCATGCATATGTATAACATTGTCGACCTTGTCTGGCTTGAGTAAAGGAAAAATGTCACTTTCCTATTCTCTTTAGCCCAAGCTGTTTACGGCTTCGTGTTATAGCACTAGCTCTCTCTTGAGGACTAAGTAGACTTTTAAGTGCAGAAGACAGAGAGAAGTTGCTGAATATGCTCCGGTGTGATTCATCGAGTGCGTTTACTAGGTTCCATTGCAAAGCTCTCTTTTGTGGCTGTAACTATTATGGCTGACCTGCTGTGCTCCCCTTATAGCTTTAAAGAAACACAGAAGCAGAGGAGGAGCACAAGAGCAGCTGCCTGTACCATAGATAACCACATGGCATAGCGTTAACTAGTGACCTGATTTGGAGGGTGGGGAGGAGAGCAGAATTATTCCACCCAATTGGGAAGGCGATCAATTGTTGCTACATCATACGCCTCTGATTGTTTTCAATGGGGGTCATTCCTAAGAAAGATATAATAGTTGCAGTTTCCATTTAATTGTACGCTCCAACAAGATTGCTGCAGACTTTCAGCAGCCTCGCAGAAACCCTCAATCTCCTTGGTGATTTAGATTAACAATGTAATGGCTAGGGGTCCATGCTATTACTGCCCAGCTAGCAGAACACCAGCCAACACAACCATCCGAACCAAAAACATTGATTTCTCAGCACCTGAAGCAAAAGGGACATCTGTGATAAGGTAATATTTTCTTGTACTGAAAAGGAATTTACTCGATGATTTGTTTTTTTGTCGACAATGCCATGCCCAAAGTATGTGTTCATGCTATGGAAGAACAAGTGATTCAGGGAAGGTCTTGATTCCACCCTCCACTGCCATGTTGGAATTTTCCTTCCTCCGCCCCTTTTCTGGTTTCTGTTCGCCTGATACCATATTTGGTTATTGCCAAAACTTAAAATGATCTTACGATGTCAGTGGTTACTCCTAGTATTAGTGTTACACTTGTCTTTCCATCCTAAAATGGTAAGGTTCTTAATTTTTATACAAGTATGTGATCTTATCCTGGCTTTATTCTTTCAGCAGTGGTTTGATAGTCTAGAAAGCCAAGGATATACCCTTTCTTTTTGTTCTCTGGTTCCCCCACCCCCATACGGCACACAATATGAGATTGCTGCTGGGCTGTTGTGTCGTTCCCCTTCCTGTGTTGCGCAAAATGTACTTCTGTGATCATTGGGTTTTACCTCAGTTTGCTGAGAAACCTCTAGTTTCTCAGTGGTCCTGTTTTGGCTCCTGTTTTATTGGTACTAAGCAACCTGAGTTTGCTATTAGGAATGTTGATTTTTTAAACTTGGTTTAGGAGTGAAGTACTTGCACTGACAGCCGTTGTGTGATAGTGGACTGGTTTTGGACACAAACATAGGTAGCACAGGCAACACCTGTTTTGCACGGGAGTTCAGTTCCAAGTCATTGTGCATGTTGGCGAAGTACACATAAACCTGCCCCATTCTGGCCACCCTGCCCCATTATGCCCCCCTTTCCTGCTACTTCTGGGTTTGCAGTGATGCACACAAAATGAGAGTTGCCTGTACTAATCGCTTACTTAGCTGTAGGCGGATGTCTTTTAACAGCATGGCTTTTTTTACTTTGGCATTTGTATATTAATGTAAAACCATTGAATACTGTTCTTCTAGCCCAGGGGTCTGCAACCTTTAAGACAAAAAGAGCCACTTGGACCCGTTTCCGAAGGGAAAAAAACTGGGAGCCGCAAAACTCGTCATTATAAAAATAACTTTTTTGTCACTTTTTTATTATTTCTTTGTTTGACCCCTCAGAATTACTCCTCCTCATAGAAATAAACGTTAAATTAACAAGTTACCTTTTTGTGTGTGTGTGTTCTTCACTCCCCTTCAAAACAGTGACCAGCGTACATGCCCCCTTTCAATGCAGTGACCAGCGTACATGCCCCTTACAATGTAGCGGGCGGGCGGGAAGGTGACGTCGGGACGGTGCGTGACTAACGCACGCACCGCCCCCATGCGACGTCACAGCCAGTACAGCGCCCGCCACAGTGGGGAGTGTCGGGGAGCACAATGCGCCTCCTCCCCTCGCTAGTATCTGCCCCAGAGTCGCGGCAAAGGTGTAAAAGAGCCACATGCGGCTCCGGAGCCGTGGTTGCAGACCCCTGTTCTAGCCTCTAAATACCAACATGATATTACAAAAGGGGGGGGGAGCTGCAAACTTTAACAAGTAAATGTATAAATGGAAGCTTTGGTTGAGTTAACCCTTAGGCTTTAGAGGACAAACTTAAGGACACAATTTATTGAGGCTGTTTTGATTCAAGTGTGCTACTGTGAATGAATAAAAGCTATTAAAGTAACTTTTGTCTAACAATGTGTGGTAGCTTTTTAATTATGTACAGTGTATGAGGATCTCGTATCAATATTTATTATGGATTTAGACTGGCAAGTTATAACTGGGGATTTGTCCAAATCCTAGTCCTGCTTCTAACTGTTCTGCTGAAATTTGGTGCCTCTCTTTCTGTTGAATCTCTTATTTGCTTTCTGAGATTGTTTTCTTGTTAGCTGGCCTCTTTCCCCCAAGAGGATATACAGCAGCATGTCTGGAAAATAGCATCATTACTGTCTTCATTTTTTTCTAAATGCCTGTTTCCATTATATATTGCGGCATTATATATTACGAAAGTTATAAAACATCCCTACATAGTGGAGGGAAGGGAGGTTTTTTTTTAACCTCATGGCATATACAAGCTCTGCAACCTTAGTCTTCCCCACTCCCAGAAGACAAAGCTCTTAGGAACTTGAGCCGGCCAATTGACGCTTCTTCTGATCTATCACCTCCTTCCTTTCTCTCTTCCTCACCTGCCACCTTGGCATTCTGGACGTCTTAGGAGCTTATAAACCATTGGCAGCCTGTTTTGTGGGTTTTGAATTCTTTTTATTGTTAGTTTAGTTTACAAACTTAAATACTTCTGTGTTCCTAGGGAGTCCCCAGAATATGTAGAAACCTATATCTTGTTTTTGGTTGGTCCCATTTCACCTCCAAACTGATAGGCACTTGATTATTTGAGGGAACCTTTGGGACAAAACATTGCAGTGCCGAGTGCTTTTGTTCAGACTTCCAGCTACTCCCCCTCAGCATTCTGGGGCAACTGAGCATGTTCAGTCCTCAATGAGCTGTGTTTCCTTTTTTTGGGTGGGGTGGAGGGTGGAGATTGCCTCCTTGATTCCCCCCCCCCCCAAATATATTTGGGACTCCTGCACTCTCTCATGTGAGTTCCTGTTGTTTTATTAATTCATTATTTATAAGATTTCTATCCTGCCTTTCAATTGAATGATCCTCAAAGCAGATTCTAGTACAGTGGTGCCTCGCAAGACGAAATTAATTCATTCCGCAAGTTTTGTCGTCTTGCGATTTTTTCGTCTTGCGAAGCACCGGTGTCGGGAAAGTTTTGGAAAAGCTTCAAAAATCACCAGAGTCTTTAAAACCTCAAAAAAAGGCTACCACACCGCGTTCTATGAGTTGCTCCTCGAAGTCAAGTCGCAACTGTATTAACGGTGTTAAGAAATAGGAAACAAACTTTGCAAAGACGTTTCCGTCTTGCGGAAGCAAGCCCATAGGGAAAATCGTCTTACGAAGCAGCTCAAAAACCCTTTCGTCTAGCGAGTTTTTTTGTCTTGCGAGGCATTCGGTCTTGCGAGGTACCACTGATATTAAAATAAAACATTCACACAAAAACATAAAAACCCTTCACAACCCATCAGCCCTTTGTCCCCTGTCTGCTGGTAAATGCCAGAAGTGCTTCTTTTCAGCTCTGCAGTCCCAGGTGAACAGGGAGTTGGAGCAGTGTGTCCTTTTGGGCAGGGTAGGGGAAACATGCTCCCTGTCATTGCTTCTTCGAAGGCAGATGGATGAGGAACACAATGGACAACGGGTGTACACCTGCAGTCCCCTGAGTGGTGGCAGAGACTAGAGTGCATTTTGACTACAAAAGTCTGGAGAATTGCCTGAGATACAGGTTTCAGCTTCATATGAAGAGCACGGAATAGTCTGATCAGCCATTTTTATAACATTTTATGGGTGCAGTTTGGAACATGCCACTTTATAAGTGTGACATAATTTCAGAAATAGCTTTACAACTTGCACTGTTATTTGAACTAATTAGTTTTTAGTTCTGAAGCTATTTAGCATTTAACTGGGATGGAAAGAGTTCATCAAAAGGTGTGTAGTAACAAAGTTGCATTTCAGTTACTTGTGTTTTATTGATTCTTGGTTTCTCTCTTCTCTCCACCCCACCATGTTAGCTCTTCTCATTGATGGAGATGAAACCTCCTATTTCTCGTGCAAAGATGATTCTTATTACTAAAGCTGCCATCAAAGCTATTAAGGTGAGATAGTAAAGAGTATTTATTTTATTTTGTTACAAATTTTTAAAAGGTTTGAACATTTGTAGCATGTTCTGTGTTTTTTCAAAGATCACATGGACTGAGAGTCATTCTCACTTATTAATATTTTACAGATACTGAATAATTTTAATTATAATGCTTTTAATGTATACTTTTATCACTGTCAAAGTAATTTTTAAAAATAACTCCATTTCAAACACTCCTTTGAGATAATTATAAATGCAGGTTGAGACTAGTTTAATAAAATGACCTATGATATATTTCCTTCTACTTAGTTTGATATGAGTTTATATGCTAATGTTTAAGGTAAACAAATTCACACTTCTTAAACATATTATGAAATTAAACATTTCAAATGTTCTTTGATTCTCTTTCAGCTTTACAAACACGTAGTCCAGATTGTAGAGAAGTTTATAAAAAAGGTAAATGAAATATTTATTAAGTTGTATATACTGATGATTCAGCAATTTATATTCTCCCCCAAAACATGTTTTTTTTTAGAGCACACACAATCAAAATATGTGCATTTAGCAGTTCTATGGGAAATCACTCAGCAGCTGCATATATTAATTATGGCAATGGTAATAGCTCCATAACTGGTGCAGAAAGATAGCATATTACATGGGGGATTGTATGTAAAGCCAAAATTGTGTAGTTGGGAAAAATCACGAAACCACTCCCGTGTGATCATTCGTACTTTTTGGAAGCATGGGCCTTGCCCCACCCCCACCCCCAACAAGACAAGATCTTGCAGGAGCTTCCCAGAGTGAGATCTTCCCAGAGCCTGGTAAGCAGGACTCTCTGCCTTCTGTGCTTTAACTTGTGTGATAACAGCTGGCTGGCCGCCAAGCGTGTAAAGTTTTGATCATGCAAGTTAAATGTGCACAGGTTGCAACTTTGCTGTTTGGGTTTCTTTGTTTGTTTGTTTGGGGAAATTAGCTAATTCTAACCACCACTAAACTAATACACAACACACCTGCAAGAAGAAGTAAGCACACAAGGCATAAGAGGAGATGAGGAAGTTTAGCCTGCCTAGATTGGGAGCTGGAAAGCGAATTGCAAAGCTTGTGTATGGATCTCCCTTTCTTGCATCTCTAGATGCCAGAAAACTTTGATGTTACTGAGTTTTTGGGACATACGGCCTACATTCTTGACCTTAGCTGTGTCAATTCTGCCTGTGATCTGGGTAACATGCAACTAATACGAAGGCAGGGCATGTTGGGGCAGGCTTAGTCTGCTTGTTCTATTGTACATTGATTATTTATTTTTGTGAGAGTCTTTTTGAACTGCCAAGTCATTTAAAAACATTTGGTGATGTACATTAAAACATCGTGGTTATGACATCATTATGAAAAATAACCATCACTGAGTCAAATTAATGTATATTCATAGGCATATTTTTAAAGTGCATATCTTGCCTGATATGTGACTGGATTTCTGAGATCAGTGTTTAAAAAGTGAATAGCTTTTACGTTCAAATTCCAGGAAAATATATTGGAATGTCTATAGTGTTGTATGGCACCTGCTAGTTTGTTTTCCTTCCCCCTCCTTTCTGGACTTTTAACTTCATGCTAATATGATAGGCCTGTTTTATGATCATACAGAGCTTACTGTTAGGATTTATAAAATGTATATTACTTATATGACTTTCTGTCTGTCTCTCTCTTTAGTGTAAACCAGAATACAAAGTTCCTGGATTATATGTTATTGACTCTATTGTTCGTCAGTCTCGTCATCAATTTGGAACAGATAAGGATGTTTTTGGGCCAAGATTCTGTAAAAATATAACAGCCACATTCCAGTATTTATATCTCTGTCCAACAGAAGACAAGGTATAACTCAATTTCTTGTAGCGTTTTGACTTGGTGTGTGTGTGTGTGTGTGTGTGTGTGTGTGAGAGAGAGAGAGAGAGAGAGAGAAATGAATATCTTCTGATCCTACTATATTTGGTCTACTCTGTACAAACACACATTGCTGATTGTTGGATACTATTTCTGAACGAGGCCTTGATGTTGAATGTTTCTTTTCTAGTTGGCTTTTAAATTTTTGAGGCCCTTCTTCCTCACCAATTCATGACTAAAAGCTCTTATGGAGGAACTTTTCTCTTCTGTGTAGAAAGCCATGTGAGCTGGATTTTATTCTATTTGATAGTAAAGCTGCAACACAAACTAGATGTGGCTGGTGACTTAGAACAGGCTTGGGTTCCTGCTGCTTGTATGTATTATGCTGACAAAACTGATTCCCACGTCTAGAATAGAATAAAGTAGCCATCATTTACTAAGTTCGGAGGTCCATAAAGTGTGTCATGAAAAATATTGTATGGGATTTGATCTCTCCATTCCTTCTCACTGTTGCTCATGTCCACAGTCATTTCCTGGAGAAGTCACAAAATGTTACAAAGCATAGGAAACAAAGTATAAAAGTTTTGTACGGTACTAATCTCTTTGTGTGTGTGTGTGCATGCAAGGACTAGGGCCTTGTACAGATGGCATTTTTGTGCTCTCATCTTTGTGCATTGTGAGATTGATTGGTTTCATGCACCTTGTTTTGTCTCTCCTCTGAACAGAAGATATCTGAACTCGGATGTCTCACATTTGTTTAGGTGATAGGAAACAAAGTGCATGTGTCCATTACATGATCTCATGATGTATAAAACTGAAGCAGGGGGACAGTATTGTCTGAACACTGCCTAAGCTTTGATTAAGCAAATGAAGATTTTTTTTAAAGTGTACTTACACATCTCTTCTTTGAACAGAGTAAGATAGTTCGTGTCCTCAACTTATGGCAGAAAAATGGAGTGTTTAAAATAGAAATAATTCAACCTCTCCTCGACATGGCAGCAGGAGCTAGCAGTGCTGCTTCAATGACTGAAGATACTACTAATAATGAAGGTAGGAAATTTTAGTTAAAGCATTATTTTCTGTTATGGGCCTATATTGTCAAACTCAGACTTTATTTGCTTTAATCTTCATAGAATGGGCTGAATTAATTGCAAGCAAAAGTTGGAGATAGATTTTGTTGTTGTAACTCTTGGTGTTCAAAATATGATAAAGTTCATGTTTTGGCTAAGTGATTGTATTATATAATAAGAGCGCTATGAAGAGCCTTTTGGTTGACTGTCTTATTCATGTGTATGTTTAGGATTGTACTGTGAAAACATTTTTTTTTGTTCTTCCCATGTTTTGAATAGAATTATTTCTACCCATTGCTGTGTTCTTGATGAGTCTGGCTGAAAATATTAAGATGGCCTAATAAATAAAATACACAATGATTTGGATACTATACAGCATATTCTGTTACCAGAAATGGCATCCGTGTATAAGTGGGGCACCCCTTAGATTGCTCAGTAGTTAAGCAATATCACTTGCTCCTGCAGTATCACAATATCACATTTAGGATCACAGGGAAATTTTCACTCATAGCACAACACTACAGAATATCACAGGGAAATTACTGGTCCTCAAATAGTATTTTCTACCACTGTGAAATGTCCTTCCCTCTGCCGTATGTGAACCATAATCTGTTACGTGTTTCTGGCATCTTCTGTTGACATACCTTTTTGCCCAGGCTTTCCCTGGTCCATAAGATTGAATCCTGTTATTTCTGAAATTCTTTTTATCTTTTCTGTTGTTTGTGTTTGTTTTCATACTGCTTTGCTACTGTTTTATTTTCGTGATATTTTTGTATACCACTTAGAGATGTTTAAATAGTAAGCACTTTAAAAACGCTAATGGACAAAACACCTCTAGGGATGTATATAATTCTAGTATTTTATATGTTGTGGTATACAAATTGCTGCAAATACATTAATAATACAGTGGTGCCCCGCAAGACGAATGCCTCCCAAGACGAAAAACTCGCTAGACGAAAGGGTTTCGGTTTTTTGAGCCGCAAGACAAATTTTCCTATGGGCTTGCTTCGCAAGACGAAACGTCTTGCGAGTTCTTGCGAGTTTGTTTCCTTTTTCTTAAAGCCGCTAATAGCCGCTAAGCCGCTAATAGCCGCTAAGCCGCTAATAGCCGTGCTTCGCAAGACGAAGAGACTCGCGGAACGGATTAATTTCGTCTTGCGAGGCACCACTGTACTGGGGTGGGTGTGTAATAGTATATTAACCTTAAACAGTTTAGCAGTTCTCCATATATCCATTCAGTCATCAATATTCTTTATAAAGGTTCCCCCCCCCCAAAAAAAAATTTGCAGTCTGTAGGCTCGTTAAGCTACAAAAGGCTTTCCTGAACTTTGTCATCAATCGTCATCATGGTTTTCTATACAGAAGTATGACAAAGAAGTATGATTACTGAAATACAGAGAAAGAGAAAAAGATAGGAGTTTATATGGGACTGTGGATGAAACTGGACATGACAATAATCATGCAAAAAGAAGTTTTGTGTTTTAAGAAACAGCACCACAAAATACAGCCGTGAGTGGGCTCAGAATTAGATTGAGGCTTTGGTGGGGAGGTTTAACCCTTTGCCTCTGCTGTAGTCCTAATCATTGCCCCCACTCACCTGTGGCTGCTGTCTACTGTACAGAACACAATTATGTAACTACCACTTGCATGATTATTGTCAAATTTAGTTTGGCCCTAAGAATATTTAGCATATACTTACAGCCATATATTCACCTGGCCCTAAAACAACAACAACTTATTATTTATACCCTTCCCATCTGGTTGGGTTTCCCCAGCCACTCTGGTGGCTTCCAAAAATATTCAAAATACAATAAAATACATACTTTGTGTTGTGGCATGCAGGGCATGAGGGTGTTTGGCAATGAAGCATTGCCACATGATATCTAATTTTGAGAATCCTGCCCTTGGAATTAAAGAAACAACTTGCTGACTATATTTGCGAATGGTCTACAGACTGACCACCCAAGTTTTGATTTTTAAAAACTTGCATTATAGTGTAAAAGTGCAATGCTATCAGTGGGAATTGTTGAAATCTTAATGTTGCATTTAAATTTATTTTATAGGTTCACCACCTCCTGCCACAGTGATTCCATCTGAGCCTCTTCAAGTTGCTTCCAATTCAGTACCTGCTGTGCCGCAATTGCCCAGTTCTGATGCCTTTGCAGCTGTAGCCCAGTTATTTCAGACAACACAAGGACAACAGGCAAGCAGAGACTTTTTGTTCAAAAATACAGAATTCAAATTAAGATAATAAGATGGTTATCTAATGCAGAATATATAACTATTCTATTTTAAAGCCATTAGTGGAAATTTGTTAGTGAATAATAATAATAATAATAATAATAATAATAATAATAATAATAATAATAATTTATTATTTATACCCCGCCCATCTGGCTGGGATTCCTCAGCCACTCTGAGCGGCTTCCAACAAAATATTAAAATACAGTGGTCTGTTAAAAGCTTCCCTAACAGGGCTGCCGTCAGATGTCTTTTAAAAGTCTGGTAGTTGTTCTTCTCTTTGATATCTGGTGGGAGGGTGTTCCACAGGGAGGGCGCCACTACTGTGAAGGCCCTCTGCCTGGTTCCCTGTAACTTGGCTTCTCGAAGTGAGGGAACCGCCAGAAGGCCCTCGGCACTGAACCTCAGTGTCCCAGCAGAATGATGGGGTGGAGACGCTACTTCAGGTATACTGAACCGAGACCGTTTCGGGCTTTAAAGGTCAGCACTAACACTTTGAATTGTGCTTGGAAACGTACTGGGAGCCAATGTAGATCTTTCAAGACCGGTGTTATGTGGTCTTGGCGGCATCTCCCAGTCACCAGTCTAGCTGCCGCATTCTGGATTAGTTGTAGTTTCTGGGTCACCTTCAAAGGTAGCCCCACATAGAGCACATTGCAGTAATCCAAGCGAGAGATAACTAGAGCATGCACCACTCTGGCGAGACAGTCCACAGGCAGATAGGGTCTCAGCCTGCGTACCAGATGGAGCTGGTAAACAGCTGCCCTGGACACAGAATTGACCTGCACCTCCATGGACAGCTGCGAGTCCAAATTGACTCCCAGGCTGCGCACCTGGTCCTTCAGGGGCACAGTTACCCCATTCAGGACCAGAGAGTCCTCCACACCTGCCCACCTCCTGTCCCCCCAAAACAGTACTTCTGTCTTGCCAGGATTCAACCTCAATCTGTTAGCCACCATCCATCCTCCAACCACCTCCAGACACTCACATAGGACCTTCACCGCCTTCACTGGTTCTGATTTGAAAGAGAGGTAGAGCTGGGTATCATCCGCATATTGATGAACACCGAACCCAACCCCCCTAATGATCTCACCCAGCAGCTGCATGTAGATGTTGAAAAGATGTTGAATTGCATTAGTGAATAGTGAAATCAATATTTCTGCTGTTTACTGATCACATCTGGTCTGAAAATAAATCATGCATATGTATAACATGTCTGACCTTTGCTTGAGTAAGAAATGTCCTTTCTATTCTCTTGCCAGCTGTCTACTCATCTGCATAGCACTAGCACTTCTCTTGAGGACTAGTAGACTTTTAAGTGCAGAAGAGAGAGTGTGAATATGCAGATGTGATCATCAGTGCTTTACTAGGTTTCCATGCAAAGCTCTCTTTTGTGGCTGTCTATTGTGGCTACCTCTGTGCTCCCTTATATCTTTAAGAACACAGAGCAGAGGAAGAGCCACAAGAGCAGCTGGCTTGTACCATAATACCCACCAGGCATAGCAGTAACTACTGCCTGATTGGAGGATGGGGAGAGCAGATATCCACCCATTGGAAGGCATCTGATGTTTTCACGGTCATTCCTAAGAAGATATTAATAGTTGCAGTTTCATTATTTTAGCTCCAACAGATTCTTCAGACTTTTCAGCAGCCTCCGAAACCTCAATCTCCTGTGATAGATAACAATGTAATGGCTCAGGTCCATGCTATTACTGCCCAGCTGCAGACTACAGCAACGCAACCATCCGAACAAAACACGATTTCTCAGCACCCGAGCAAAAGACATCTTTTGATAAGGTAATATTTTTCTTGTACTGAAAAGGAATTTACTCAATGATTTGTTCTTTGTGGAATGCCATGCCAAATTTTTGTTTCATGCTATGAGAACAAGTATTCAGGGAGTCTTGATTCCACCTCCACTGCATGTGACATTTCCTTCCCCCCTTTCTGGTTTCTGGTGAACCATACTTTGGTATGCAAAACTTAAAATGATCTTACATTGTCAGTGGTACTTATATTGTTTACTTGTCTTTCATTACTTACTGAAGAAAATAGAGTTGGCTCAATGTAATATGTTTCAGAAGCTGTTGGATCGATTTGACTATGATGATGAACCAGAAGCAGTAGAAGACACCAAGAAAGACGAACCAACAGCTCCTGCAATCTCTCAACCAACATTGTAAGATTTATGAGTCAGAGCAGTAAATGCTAAAATTTAAGGTGATGTTGTAGAAGTGTAATGTTGCATATATAGGTTCTCTTCATTAGACTTCATTTTTTGAACTCTTTTATTATGCAATATTTGATATGCATCAGTTCGCTAAGCAAAACAAAAAGCCCCTATCCTGCAGTTACAGTTGAATATTACCACCTCAGCTTAAAAAATACTTAAATAGTGCCATCATTATAACAGCTAGAATACTGTTTCCATCCCTAATGAGCCTGCAGTCTAGAGTCTTGACAAAGAAAAGCAACAGAAGGAGGGGAGCAAAGAGGGGAAGTTTGTATTCATGGAAAAAATTCATGGGGAGAGGAGCACTGATGGCAGCCTGGGTTACTGTACTAAATTTTATGTCCTTAAAACGCTGCTTTAAAATCTCATATTTATTGCTCAGTGGTTTTCCGGGTGAAGGTATGCAGCAACAAGTTTATGCCCAGCTCCCAAATATAGACCAGTATCAGCAACGAGTGCTTGGAATGCAACAGGAACCTATGCTTCACCAGGTATTGGAAACATTTCCCTTATGCACAGTACTTAATAATTAGACATGCAGTACTTTGAAAGCTTGTTCTTGATTTTAAATTAATGGAAAATACCTATATATTCTTTTTTCTACAAGGTCCCACTTCCTCCAAATGGACAAATGCCAAGTTATGGACTTCTACCTGCATCACAGTTTCCTCCCATGGCTCAGCCTGGGATGCAACCCTCACCCCAGGTGCAACAACCTTTCCAGCCTTCTTTTCCAGCACAAAATGAACCACATACACAGAAACATACACATCAGCAGGTAAATAACTTGCTATCTTTCCCCCCAGCCCTAATGCCAAATGTTGCACCCAGGAAGAAATCTCAGGACTGTTCACAAGAGTTCCATAGTGTATGCTTTGGTCACTGTTTCTTACCCTATTTTAATTTATCTGGATGTGTTTGTCACATTAGATTTCCAGTACAGGTTAGACTCCTTTAGAGTACTGAGTTTTAGTATGTTTAGTGACCCAAAGTGGTGGCAGCAGAACATTATGATGGTATGATAGATTAATTGCTTAATCTTTTCAAAAATTTCTAATGTGCACTAGAATCTGTATACTTTAATATGTGCTTTGTGAAGGAATCTACAGTTATTGTATCTCCAATTTGAGTCCTTGATCAAAAAGGCAATATAGGCAATATTCAGACAATCGTACTTTGGCTTAATAAGGTGATACATGAACAAACATTTGGCAGTGCACACAGACTCTTTATGCCTTTCCTTCATATGAACAAGCTAACAAACTAGAAAGTATTCTGTTGACTATAATCTCCTGTTTCGTTCAACCGAGGGAACAGTGATTTAATGGTTTTGCAAAAAAACTTGCACACCTTTAACTTGCACAATCACAGCTTTACATATTTGCTGACCAGTTCGCTGCAAGCACACAAATGAAACACACACAAGCCAGAGAACTTTTAAAAAGTTATTTTGGTACCAGGTTTTCCTACTCTGGAAAGAGCTTTTAAGCTCTCCACCTTGCTTTTAAGCTCCCATGAGACCCTCCCAGAACCCCATAAGCAAGACGGAGAGCTTCTATATGTGTGGTGCAATGTCTGCTCAGCGTGCCAGCATCGGACAGGTAGGGGTGCTTGCGCAATCCCCCCGAACATAACCCCCCCACAAGTTGCGAGGCTACTGTAAATAGATTACATCTATGCCAGGATTTCACTGTCCAGTAAATGTAACAGAGCAGAAATCTCTTAATTGAACTGAGGTATCCATTACACTGCACTGAGTAGAAGTTTTCAGTTTGTATAATTCTTTATTGCACAGAATCGGCCGGTAGTAAATTCTCACTTAAAAAAGTTAAACTTGCTCATTAGAAATACAAATACCTTAAGTTACTTCAGATAATATAATACACCTGTTTTCAGCTCAAATTATATATGGATTAGCAAGGGTGTTGGATATTCCTGTCTAGCTTACATGCTTTATTTTACAACTAATACTTTAGATAGAATGTGTTTGGTTTAGCATTTTGCTGAAGCAAAATGATTGATTGATTTCCACCACTTACTAGTTTTCATTTGCTACAAGAGTTTATATCCAACTAAATTTATACTCTGAGTAGACCCAGTCAAATCAGTGAAATTAAGTTAATCATAACACCTGTTGCCCATCAATTCCAGTAGGTTTGCTCCAAATATTATTTAGTAAGATACATCCTTAACCGTGTTAATTAAACCACTTAAACAGCATTTTCTTAATGAATCACGTTTTTACAATCTGTGCATTTATGTACATATAAGTGAATATGAATTGTAATTTGAACCAAATGAAAATCTTTACATTTCAACTGCTGTCTAGTTTTTAATTTGAAACTGATCAAAAAGTGAAACTGAAGAACAGCTGTGGTAATAAATCCTTGCCTCCCCCCCCCCCCCCGCAGGAAATGGAAGTGGATCAACCTCCTGTTCACGAAGGAAAGAGGCATGAGAGCAGAAAGTCAAGATCTAGATCTGCATCAAGGTAAGAAGTAGCAATTACATGTATATTTATAATCCATTATTAGGTACTAGAGTGTATCCAGATACAGGAATAATGTAAAAATCTCAAAGCTGAAAGCTTTTAATCTCTTATCCTACATTCTTGTTATTTATGGTTTTATACTTTGCCATTCAGTAAGTGCTACATTCAAGAATAGATCATTTGCATTTTGTGATTTCATACAAGGCATACGTAGGGACAAATGGAGTGTGGTTTTTCTAAGGCAGGTTCGGCTTCTTAGAGGTGTTTTGTTTGCATTTTGGGGCAGTGATAGCCAGAAATAAATATCTTAAAAGGGTAAGTTTTCACATTGCTCTCAAAGGACAAGCCTTACTATACAATAACAATTCTCAGATTTGGGGATGGGCAGAATTCAGTAGCAGCCAGCAAGTTACCTATGAATGTAAAACTTACTCTGTATTTTTAATATCTTCCTTAAATACTAGATCACCCAAAAGGAGAAGATCACGGTCTGGTTCTCGGACTAGAAGATCACGCCATCGTCGTTCCCGTTCCCGGGACAGGCGCCGCCATTCCCCTCGATCCCGATCCCAAGAAAGGCGTGAAAGGGAGAGAGAGAAAGAGCGCAGAGCAAAAGGCCTTCCTCCAATCAAAACAGAAACTGTTAGTGGTGAGTATTATTTCTGTCTTTCTTAGCAAGATGGAACAGTATTAATACATGCTGTCAAATGTGTTTTTGTCCTTGCTTTCTTTTTCCGGTAAGATAGCACTTCAGAACAGTAGGCAAAGTCAGAATGGCAACCTGATACTCTGCATCACTGTGTTAAATCCATTTTACAGTGGTACCCCGCAAGACGAACGCCTCGCAAGACGGAAAACCCGCTAGACGAAAGGGTTTTCCGTTTTGGAGGCGCTTCGCAAAACGAATTTCCCTATGGGCTTGCTTCGCAAGACGAAAGCCCATAGGGAAATCTCCGGGACAGCGGGGAAGCGCAGCGCGTCTTCCCCACTGTCCTCGGACCTCCTCCCGCCGCCCGGCATCGGAACCAAGCTCCGATGCGGGGCGGGAACGCCTTCAGCTCTCCCGGGAAGGCAGGCAGGGGGGAGCAAAGACTTTCGCCCCCGCCCGCCTTCAGAAGAGGTCCAGGACCTCTTCTGAAGGCGGGCGGGGGGCGAAAATCTTTGTCCCCCCTGCCTGCCTTCCCAGGGGCTTTTAAATCGCCCCGGACAGCGGAGAAGTCCTCCGCTGTCCCGGGCGATTTTAAAATGCCGCCCGCCAGCACTTTAAGATTGCCCCGGGGTTTTTTTTTTAAAATGCTGGGGGTGGGAAGAAAAGCCCTTGTCCCCCCCCCCCCAGCCTTCAGAAGAGGTCGGGGGACAGACTGTCCCCGGACCTGGTCTGAAGGCGGTTTCCCTAGGAACGCATTAATTGATTTTCAATGCATTCCTATGGGAAACCGTGCATCGCAAGACGAAAAACTCGCAAGACGAAGAGACTTGCGGAACGAATTAATTTCGTCTTGCGAGGCACCACTGTATTCCTGAGCTGCAGTCCTCGGAAAGTTTGAGAGCCACCAGTGTAGTAAAACTAAGTATATATTTTTAAAAGATGGGCCAGAAATGCACAAATGTTCTTGTTAATTTCACCATGATTAGTAGTGTCCTGTTTTTGGCGATGTTGACAAGCTCTAGCCTCTCATCCTGAGTTTGGAAATGAGAGATGTCTCCTTCTGGAAGAGCTTTACATTTGCTCAAGGGACTCTAGATCCTGCCCATTCAGATTGATGTATACTTTTCAAATTATTGCTAGCTCGTGATTCAAGTTGCCAGTCACCTTTGACTTGTCACATTTTTAGTTTGCAGTACAACACTGTGGGTAGGCCAGTTGGATAAACGAACATCGCAGCAGGATGTTGGAGGTCTCCTAGAAGAGTTTGGACCAATTGAATCTATAAATGTGAGTATGAAATAAAATACAAGTTACGAGAAAATAAAATCATCCAGCTGAAACCATTTTAAGTGATTCATGTAGTATTTTTTTGCAACACATGCTAGCAAATTTGTATACTTGTTTAAAAACAAATTGAATACTTGTATCCAAAAAATTTGAGAGCTATGATTTTTTAAAAGCCAACATTTTAAATGTTCTGTTGTGAGAAATTGCTGTAAACAGTACTGAATATTAGTAATAGATGCAGCAAACAAATAAAGTCCATAATCAACATTGTGTATTTCCTCGGAAACCTCTAAGAACTTAGAAATATTAAAAAAAAGCAAGTCCCAGTTCTTCTCTTGCTGTACAGACATTGTATCTTGGTTTATGTCAGGAGTAGAGAACTGGATCTGGCCAGTGGGCAGGATCCTTAGCTTCCCCAGCCCCATGGGCCAACTTATCAGAGTTGAAGTCTATATAATCGCTGATTAGTGGTTACAGCAACCTACTTCATAGGTGTGCCAATTGATGCTCCTAGCATGCCTTCGAAGGAGTTTGCTGTAGTCGCCAATCAATTCCCTTGAAGTATATTTGGAGGAAGTGGTTTGGATTCAAACCGTAAATGGAGAATTTTTCCTTTGCAGATGTATTGGCTGCACTGGTGAGTTCCCTATTGGAAACTGCCTAGTGCAGCTGACAATAGAATATGGGGGGGGGGGTTGCTTTCTCCATTTTCAGAAAGCACTTTGGAGTCACAGACTGACTTCAAAGGTGCTTGTTGCAGAGGAAAATTGCTCTGTTTGGAGATAGTGAGTTGAAATCAAACCTTTTCCTGCAAGTGAAGAGGGAGCTGCACCATGAGGATGATGTCATGTGTTTGTTGAGTGGACATGGTTTGTGGCAAATGCCCTTGCAGACCAAACTGAGACCCTTGGCAATTAAGGTTGAGGGCGAGAGGTTTCTCTCCACTGATTTATGCGTTAAAAGGAAATAAGGCACACATTCAAACAAATTTCTTGTGACTTTGCACTTTTTCCTTGCAAAATTTATGGGAATTCCTGTTGAATAGTAGTGCAATGTTTTTATTTTTACAACAGATGATACCACCAAGGGGATGTGCCTATATTGTAATGGTGGAAAGACAAGATGCATACCGTGCTCTTCAGAAACTGAGTCGTGGGAACTTCAAAGTGAATCAGAAATTTATAAAGGTATTGGATATATTTTTCAATAAAAAATTAACTTATAGGATACAATTTTTCCCTCAACCCCCTCCCCAAAGATTTCTATGGGACAATATTTTCAAGAGGGAAGAGAGGAAGGAGCACTTTCATTGTAAAAACAGAAATTGGTTTTGCTGCAGACACCATTGTCATCCATAGCAATCAATTAATCCAGAGGGGTTTTGGAAAAAATATTTGGTAGCAGTAAGAAAAACCCCATTCAGCTCAGGTTGGGGGGAATGTTTATTTATGATAACTATGTGGTGGATGAGCCAAGTGGTAAGCTCCTACAAACAGAACGGATCACCATGTTATTTGGAGGCAGTTTATGTGGCTTGCATAGGACTGCTTAATTACGTGACACTGTCTTTGGTCATCTCGTTGCAAGAATTTTTCACAGGGCTACGATATGTTATTCTTTGCATATTTCCCATTGTATGTGGGCTGTGCTGAATGTGAGTCACACTCAGAGTAGACCTGCTGAAATAAATGGACATGACGAACTTAGGTCTATTCATTTCAGTGGGTCTACTCTTGAGTAAAATGTTTTGCTTTCTGACTTTAGTTGTGCTGAACAAGTACAGGTTCACTGTTGGAAGGAAATCACTGTTATGTTGCTGTTTTCCTTCAGATTGCATGGGCTTTAAATAAAGGAATTAAACCAGACTATAAGCAGTATTGGGATGTAGAATTAGGCGTTACCTACATACCATGGGGCAAAGTTAAGCCTGAAGATTTGGAAAGCTTCTGTGAAGGAGGAATGCTGGACAATGAAACACTTAGTCCTGGTAAGAGATAAATATATGGAAAACAAATATTTATTTAAGAAAAAGTCTTACAAGTGAAATAATTTCAATCTGTTTTTAAAAAGTCACTTGTTTTACTCTGCTTGCTTTGGGGTGGAACTTTAGGAGATGCTTGTAAGTAGAACTTCACTTGAACGTGAATCCCCTTGGAGCGTGAAATCTAATTCAAACATAAATTCTGATACTTATTTGGTAGTGTGAAAGAGGGCTGATAATTAGGGAATAGCGAAGATGTTTATTCAGGCAATTTTTACCTGATTTGATGCTTCTGTACCTGCTTGTGGTTTGGAATGCAGCTCCTAGTCCAATTGCACACATATGCAGATAATGCAGTACAGTTTCAGTGTGGACAAAAATAGTTGTATTTAAAAGAATTTGATAAAATTTATATTTTATGATGAAATCCATATTTTACATAAAAATAGTATGTTATGTATAAAGTGCATAAAATTTAAATGCAGAGTTTTGTGTGTGCTCTTTCAAAAAAAATAATCACATAAATGGAGCTAAATGGGACCTATGAGGGCCTGCAGGAGAAAGAGGAGTGTGAATTTTGGTTGTGTGAATGGAAGTCTGCGTGTGCAGTGTTGGATTCTACCCTATGCGCCTGTTATAAAGATAGATAATGGGGCTGCAAGATAAACATTTCAAACAAATCTCTGCTTTTGCTGAACAAACAATATGTGCACATTCCAAAAATTTTCTTTTGTCACCCTAAACAGATTCAGATAGTATTTGTGATTGCCATCGGGACAGATAAGTGGGTTGGCCATGATGTATACATATCATCAGTTAATGCATTAATTTAATGCAGACTTTACACTTGCATTGCAAGGCAGAAATTGAGATTAAATATTTTGCATTCTTGTAATTGATGTTTATGTCTTTCCTGTAGAATGGAAAGGAATTCCAAAAAAGTCAGAAAACCAAGTAGCCCAGAATGGAGGCGCGGGAGACGCTGCACATAATGAACAAACTTCTCCGGTTGCTAAAAATATGTCCGTTCAAATGCCTGTTCCTATGCCCACACCAATAACAGTGCCTCCACCACAGGTAAGTTGTTTTTCTCCTTTTGATTTCTCATTTCTGCACATGGAAATTTTAAAGCTTGGTTCATCTTGTTGAGAAGTAAGATGCAATTTCATGCACTGTTTTGACATGCTGACACACATACCATATGATGGTATTACAGTACATCTTTTACATGATGAAAATTCACATTTGAAACATACAGCAAGGTTTAATATTAACTAAAAGTATACCTGATACAGAAGAAATATCAGAATTAGTTGCTTTGAAGGCACATTCAAATGAAGAAATCACGTGGTACAACCTGTTATAGTATCTTTGTTGTGTCAGAAAGCAATGTGAGAATTTAGCTTTAGATTGATTAGATAAGGACTATAGGTTTAACTTAACCTGATAACTTGTTGACAAATTGGTTAAACGATGGCAACGACTTCAAAAACACTTTCAGACAGTTCTTACAATTGTGCATAATATCTGATAAATTAACTGCTCTAAGATTTTATGCAAGTGTAATTGTCTTTCTCTTACCTATGATCAGTCCAATTATAGGTCTTTTATTGAAGATCCTATGCCAAGAGGTGAAGTTTAACTGTACAATCTAAAGATACCACTTAAAAAGCAAGGGACTCTTTAAATCAGTTTTTACCAGCCTGTTACCCTCTAGATGTTTTAGACTATTTGTCCCATTGGCCGCAGCCAGCTTGGTGGTGCTGGCTGAAGCTGATGGAGTTGTGGCCCAAATTGTTTTGAGAGCATCAGGGTGAGAAAGGCTGATTTAAATGCTGCTGGAGCTTTCTGTATTGCTTTTATTCAGCACACAACAATGCAAACACATTCTTCATTTTTAAAAGTAACTTTTCTCATTATCTAATGGCAGATTCCGAAATGACAACTACAAAGAAAGCTCCTTGTAAACGTTTGTGGTTCCTTATCTCCCATGTAAATGATTCCACTGAAAAAGAGTTTTAGTAAGATACAATGTCTACGCATTATTCAGAGAGAGAGAGAGAGAGTTCTAATAGTTGGCTCTGTTAAAATGTCACACAAAGTCTTCATGCTCAGTAAGTCAATATCTATGGGTAAAAAGCTGTAGAATTATTGGTGAGTAATTTTTTTCATTCCACTGTAGGTTCCACCACACCAGCCAGGACCTCCAATGGTTGGTACACTTCAGCCACCTACATTTACCCCTCCCATGGGAATGCCACCTCCAGGATTTGGTCCTGGAGTTCCACCTCCGCCTTTTTTGAGGCCTGGCTTCAACCCAATGCATTTGCCTCCAGGTAATTAAATATTCTCATAATTTTCATACATATGAATTGTGAATCTACTACAACCTAGTGCCATCCAGATATTTTGGACTCCAACTCCCATTATCTGTGACCATTGCCATGCTGCTTTGGGTGGATGGGAGATGTAGTTCAAAACATATGTAGGGCATCAAGTTGTGGAAGGGTACTCCTTTCCTTTTAAGGAGAAGAGAAAACTTCCTGGAAAAGACCCTGATGCTGGGAAAGATTGAGGGCACAAGGAGAAGGGGATGACAGAGGATGAGATGGTTGGACAGCGTTCTTGAAGCTACCAGCATGAGTTTGACCAAACTGCGGGAGGCAGTGGAAGACAGGAGTGCCTGGCGTGCTCTGGTCCATGGGGTCACGAAGAGTCAGACACGACTAAACAACAACAACAACAACATAAAGGATTTCTGTTGTAGTGATGCTTTGTTATTTCTGTCTTCATAGGTTTCCTTCCTCCTGGACCACCGCCACCTATTAACCCCCCAGTTTCAGTTCCTCCGGTCTCTGTTCCTCCTTCTCCAGGAGTAAACATCCCAAACTGTAAGTCTAATTTGTTATGTTATTAAAGTTGATGGTATTGCAAGTGTATGCCATTTAAAATATCTCTGTTAATATCACTGTTCTAGCTACTGTGGCCAATATAAATGAAGACACTACAAAAGACTCTTCTGTGGGAAACCCCATTCCAACAGTAGTTTCTGCAGCTAGAGGAAATGCTGAAAATGCAGATGGCTCCAAAGGATATCCAAATGCTCTGCCACCTGTAACTTCTACAAGTATCTCAGCTTCTGTCACCCAACCAGTTCCACTCCTTGGTAAGTTCACTTTTCAGTTGCTGGATATATATGTGCCTTTTCTTTCTTTCAAAAGTACTCATTCTACTTTGTCAATAGTTAGGAAGTCAAAATTTTAGAAAACAAAGTGTTTTCCTGTGTAATTTGGTGGGGAGTAAAGCATTTAACGGTGCAAGTACCCACTATAAATAATGAAAGATTGAAGCAGTGATTCAGTATTGAGAAATGATTATGTTAGGTACGTTTTAGTAAAACAAATCCAGGGGACTCAGGAAATATATAAGCAGATTCAGGGTTCTGGGTTTACTTTTGCCAGAGATGTTTTTTTCCTGGTCACCAATGGCTATGTATAGAAATATCTGAAACCAGGAGTCGGTGTAGGTGTGTAGATGACCCTGAAGATTGAACTGTTTTCTCCCTGCCTTTATTCCTTAAAATATTCATTCCCGCATTCTGCCGTCCCCTTAGCTTCTGGGATAACATCAGGACTGGGGGCTAAATGCATGTCTCAGGCCTCTCCATAGGCCACACCCCCATTCAGGCTACTCTCTCTCTCTTCAGGCCACACCCCTCTCTGGCCATTCTTTATGCCCCCCTCCAGTGTTTTTGGCTTGCTGGAATCTGTCCTTAAACTGTGGTAAGGACTCTGGATAGAAAAGTATGTGTACATGCAAACAGAAACCTCTCACTTCTGTATAGCTGGGATGAGGTTTACTATATCAAGATAAGAGTCACATCTGTTATTTCACCCACTTTTGCCTCTGACCCCAACCACTCACATGCAGCTTCCAGAATGTTCCCCTAGAAGCAATTCAGCCCTCAGATTGGAAGCAGGGTCCCTCCCTCTCACTTAGGTCATCTCTCCTCCATGTTTCAGGATATATTGGTATGTGTAAGTTTGTATGCATGAGTTTGATTTTTGTTTTCAGATACTTAGCATGTTTATCTGCTCAGCTACATGGCATTTTGAATAATAAAAAAACCATTTTAAACACTTTCTAAACTCAGAAGAATGGGCAAGTAGCTTTATGGTTGACACAAAGAGCTAGGCAATTAGTGGTGTGCAAAACATCTCCTGAAACCCAGAACAGTTTCTCTTGAGCTCAGTTCCAAGCAGTAGCTTGTACGTTTGCCCAAATGCAGTGAATGTGCTCACAACTACAATTAGGTACATCTGTACACATCCTAATATAGAGGTCTGAACCTGAGCATACAAGAAAGATGTAACCATCTAATGCCATTGCTACCATTTCTTTCCTTCTACTCCTCGTCTGTTTCCTTATGTAAGAATTGTCTACCATTTTGTCACCTGAATTTCTCACCAGTGCAGACTTGCATTCCATACTCTTCCACATTTCCAGGAAAGGGGATAATGCATTGAGAGTGGGGTTCTTTTTGGCCCAGACTGTCTTTCTAGAAGAATTCATTTATCACACAACTCTCAAATGTATCACGATCATTTGCCAAATCACCTGAATTACTGCTTCCACAACATTTTTGGGATGGGAAAGCTTTGCTAAAATTGCACTTCCTTGGTTTGAAACCTCCTTATTTCTACTTTGGGATATGCTAGCTGTTGGCAACCCATTGTGAATATTTTCCACAGCTTCGGTTGTATATGCAGCATTCCAAGCACAATATTGTCTTAATGTGCCATATACAAATGGTTAATCAATCAATAATTTTATTTGTATGCCGCCTTTTCAAAGTCAAAAGGATGCTGAAGGTGGCGTGCAACATATACAAAATTACATAACTACAAACATAACAAAAGTAGTCATAAGCAATAAACAAAACATCAAAAGGTACACAAACAAATTGAATGATTTCCATGTATATCAAGATCCAAAATAGAGATTCAAAGAATAAAGAGCAACAACAGTATCTACCCTGCCTCCAATAAAACGCCTTAAACAGTACAACTGCCTGAGATTCTGTTCAGCAGCCTCAGCTTTTGTAGCTGAAGTCAGTCAAGGCTTTGCCCTCCCAGGCCAGGTGGGAAAAGCCCTCAAGGCAGGCAGCAGGTCTTCCAAGACTCAAAGCCAAGATGGTTGGAAATCACATATAATTGTACAAGCATAATTGTTGTCATCAGTGATTCTGTGTGTGTGAGAGAGTGTGGGGTGGGGTGGGGGAGAGGAGATAAAATAAATATTTTTTGTAAATGTAAAAAATGATTACCCAAATGTCACAATGCCTGGTCTTGGGAAATATTCTAGGAAGACAAATTCTATAATCCCTGGTACTGTTGTGCTACATGAAAATCTGGAGAGAATTGAAATGTTTCCTTTTAAGCAGTACTGGAGCAAAGCAGTTAAGGGGCTGATGTAAAAAACATCTGTGCAGTTATGCCTGGAAAGCTATATAGCTATCCGGCTGAGATATGGGACCTCAAGTGTTTTAACAAACTTTTATTTCTCTAGTTGAGATTCTACACAAGCTAGATCAACATATCTAAGTTTACTTAAAGTAGTGTTCAGTTTTATGGGGAATGGTATGAGGACCTGCTTGACAGATCACAGTTCTGAGGCATTGCAGGTGGAAATTGGTAAGATAAATGTCCCTGACCTCTGCATGGAATCGGACATGTAACAATGAATTCAGAATACCCAAACATCTTGAGCCTAAAGAACTGCAGGAAGGCTATCAGCAATAGATGTCATCAAGACTACCAACTATCCACAATTCATTCTTCTCCAAACTGTTTCTATCAGCTTTCTTGCTTACTTCCTGCAAGCATTATATAAATTCTGAAATTACATGGCAGGCTTTGAAGGAAGGAAGGGAGAAAACCGGGTGTCATCAATATACTGGAGGTACCGCTCTTCAAAATTGACACCTATCTAATACTTTGGCATCTTACACACATTGAACATAATGGAGGTCATATGACATACTGCAGTAATGATACCAACAAGAAGTACATTATTTGGGCCTCTCAGAAGTCTTTTGCAAAAAGCAGTGATTAATACTTCAGAGCGAGCTCATGCTCATGACACCTTGTATTCACTTGATCATTATATCAGTGGTCTTTGAAGTAGAAATTTAAAAAAAACAAATCTGTTGATTACTTAACATGAATGGCTCAGGGCACAATCTCAGTGTCATATCAAGTTGCGCTCAGGAGTTGGATGAAGCGCAAGAGTATATGAATTGCAAAGGCACCACCAGCTGGCAGTCTCTTGAAAGGGAGATGGAATTTGCTTAAGTGAAAAATAAAAATGCAGAGAATCCACTCAAGATTTTACCTTCTTAATTACTGGTTTTCATCTGTCAATATGAGTCTTGACTCCTGTGCACAAATGCTTGCATGAGTTCTTCCAGGTATCCTATCTGGTGGTCATATTAAATGAAACGGATGTATTTAAACAGGGTTGGCCTGAGCCTTTCACATACAGTTTGGGTAAAGCAGAGCATCAGAGGATAGTGTACATTTCCAAAGATGTCGGTCTTAATTTCTGCTCTCAGTCTGATGAGGTGTAGAATGTCTTGATGTTTCAGAAAGCAAATCCCATTCCTTCATGGTCGTTTGCAATATTCACTGTTGACAAACAGCTGCCATTTAATGAAGTTGTATATACTGAATAAGTTAACTCAGACTTGATCCAGATTTTACAAAGTGAGGCATGGCCAAACAACTGCTGCTATATGGTTGGAGCCACATGCTGCGCCAGTGTTGAAAAGTACTGATGTGGTTGAGGCATATTATGTGGTCCCTGTGCTAGCAAAGTATGCCTGGAAGCCTGCCACTTTTACTGGCATAAGAACTTGTATACAGTCTGCTGGATCTACATATCTGCTCTTGAAAATGAGCCTGTGGTTTGGAGACAGCCCAGTTCAAAAATGATTTTCTAGCAGCAGTATCCTTGCATTTATAATACCTGAATCCTGTTTAAGAGCAACTGGGTTCCAAAACCCTATGTATATTGTGTAGTTATTTCTGGGTGCCACCAACAACCTAAAGGTGTGTCGAAGCGGCTTCTGCTAGGTCTTTCATTCAAGGCCTGTAAAGCTAAACTAGTTCTATGCAGTAATTTTAATGAAAAGCTTTCCCAGATTTTTAAAGTTGCTGTGATTTTAAATAGCATATAAGTTCATGTTTTAAAGGCTATGAAATCATAGCTTAAGGAAATTTTGAGGAACGTAACTTAATCTGAAAGCTGCCTAAACTGTACTGGGGGGAGAGAATCTTCTGTACAGAGAACAACATGGAAGAATTCATCACACATGAATGGAAAACAGGAAGATTCTTCTGAGGAGACTACCCAGAGTTGCTTTTGCTTTGGAGTATCTTATGTAGACACATTTCTGGCAACATTCCAAGCATTTTCAAGTGACATGCCAGCTCTACCATGTAGAAATGTGACATACGGACTATAATGCTTTCCAGATGGGTCAGGGAAAAGGGTCCTAGATTGCTGCCATTTTTACAGATACAGTTCCAGAAAAGTTGGGCGTGGCATTCCCCCAAGTAATGTTTCCACATAGGAATGCGGATTTGATAGCTTAAAAACGTTGAATCGCAAATAATCCACAGTTTTATGAGTTTAAATGATTAAACAAGTGTGTGACGTAACTTTGAATTAAAATATACATAAACATTGGTTCACAACACCACATTGTTTCTGTAAATGTTGACAGGAAGTAACTGAAATTCTGCACTAAGCAAATATGAACTCTGCAACCTGAATGAATTATGCAGCTAAACCATATACATAATTTTGTATAATTTATTTTGTTCATGATCCGAAAGGGGAAGCATAAGGCCTAGGTTCCCCCACCCCTTTGTTTTAAATGAAAACTGATAATCTTGGAAAGCTTGAATTCTGTGCCTACAATCACATTCTGGTTTCCCCCCTTCACTCGAATGGAGTCACAGCATGCACACAATCCTATACAGATTTTAAGTATATCTTCTAAGATTCCTGTTGCTTTTCAGACATTCAAAATTCTGTGATTGTTCAAAGTGATAGGAATTCAGTTACAGTACAATTTCCAACTCAAGGTGACTGATAACATTA